CAGCGGGAATGGTCCCTCTTCGGATTGTGTGGCCACAGGTACCCTGAAAGGCCTCACAGCCAGAGCACCAGAGGCTGGTCTAACAGGCGGGGACCAGAGGCCCTGGATGCCACCTGCAGCCATTGGGTGTGACATCTCTGTACCTGGGTTTGCTTCACAGCGGCCTGCGCCAGTCTGACTGTAACCCTTGAAGGTCAATAAAGCTACCTGCCCACAGTGCAGGCCCAGCCTCTTCTGTGTCTTGGTTTATTGCCACTTCCAGGCTGTAACTGCCACCAGGCCCATTCTTCCCCTGCACCGAGGGCCTGGCAGGTGGGTATGCACGGCCTCTGCCCACGTCCCCGTGAACATGCCGACTGGCTGAGCCTTGGCCGCCATGGGACCTGGCCCCGGCTACCCAGGAAGGGGCTGTCCAGACCTTGAGGACAGCCGTTGGCCACAGCGCCCCCTGCAGGCCAGGCTCTACACTGCCTCCTCCCTGAGGCCGCTGGTCCCCTGCAGTGGCCCCTCCGCCGCCTTGTCCTCCTGGTTGGGAGCCTGGCCCAGTGCAGAGGCGGCCCTAGCGGACAGCGATGCTCACAAGGGATAAATAGAACTTTATTTTAAATAAACATTTGTACTCTGTACAGGGTGCCCGCTGCCGCGGGGCTCAGTCATCAGCCGTCTTGCGCACGTCGAAGCTGCCACAGGGTCCCCTCAGCAGCTCCGCCAGCAGCGCTAGCAGCTGCCCGTGCTCCTGCTGCACGCTGGGCGGCAGCGCGGCGAGCTCGCTGTGTAGGCTCCGCTCCACCATGCGGCCCAGGGCCCGGCGCAGCTCCCTCAGCAACCGCACGGTGCGCGAGTCGCCCTCCAGCCGGAGCAGGTCACTGTCACTCAGTGAGATGGTGGCCCGGCGCCCGTCATCTGCAGGAAGGGGAGATGTCGGGGCCGAGTGAGGCCAGGCATCGAGGAGGCACGGCAGTGACGGAGCGGTGGGGAGGCCGCAGGTACGCACCCCGGATGTGGACGTCCCCGTCGGTCAGGAGCAGCACGGCTAGCGGGGGGACCCGGGCGGACGCCCCGACCGAAGACCGGA